AGGCCCTGTGCCTATTACCGCGTTAACATTCTCTTAAGCCCAGTGCAACAATAGAACAGGAGGCAGAGGAGAGCTGGACGCAGGGTGAGGTTCGAGCAATTCAATCACAGCCTGGCTTACCTATGTACTCTGACCCACAAGACACAAGGGGCCTTTGTGTCTAACTGGCTTGGCCATTAAGGCCGCTCAAGATCACAACAAAGCTAATCTTTTCCATTTAAGCTAAATCAATGTGGACAAATCATTATTCAGTAGCTTTAATTTAATTAGTAAATTAAATACACTACTTTACAGATCTTGTCAAGTACTTATGAAAAGAAAGATTCATGTAAATGAGAGGTCACCAATAAGCCCTGCTGGCTCAGTTCCTGGTCTTAGCTGAATCTTCTCTCTAGTACCTAGTGGTTCTAATTACTAGAGTTGTTGCCATAGCTCCTAACCCCAGAGAGTTCTTATTTTGGGTTCAAACAGTTTTGGACAAAAAAATCAAAGCAAAGCAGAACACCTTCCACCAATATAGCCACAGCACTGGCAGAATCAGATTTTCTTTAAATTATACTATTGCAAGAAACATAATCAGGTTACCTCTATTCTGCTGCTTCCTTAAGACTGAGTATTATCTCTACTTAACTGAAACACAGAGCGTTTTTCAGCTATAAAGATGACAGCTACTTTATTAAGGTTTAAATCTGATTTCCTAATGATGGGCAGCTTCCTAAAGACCCTGAACCTGAACAAGATCCTTGCGTGATGGAGTTTGGAAGCCCGACACACAGCCCAAGAGTATCCTGTATCACAGAAGGTACCTGGCTTTGTTCAGTACCAGGACGGAAGCGAGGTCTTTTTAAGAAGCTGACCATCCATAGCTCATGTCTAACCTGGATCTAGTAAGAGACAATAAAATTCATTTTTTTTTTAAAAAAGACGTTTGTTGGAACCCTTCAAAATAACACCAGAAACCCTAATAAGAGGCAAGCAAGACTGAGAACACACTGATTATTTAAATAATAAAGGCAGGGCTTTTTCCTTCCCTAAATCAAGAGAAAACTCATTCTTATTTTCTCAGGGCTCTCACACGGATTTTCTGAATTCTTCTGAGTCTGTATTTATCCATGCAGGTTTTTTTTAGGCTTGTATCTATTTAGTCATTAAGTTCCAGGTCCTTAAACACTCACAGGGACAGAGTGATAAATCTTCTCTCTGAACGCTGGCCTAAGAGGGAGAAGCAGGGTGCAGGAGCAACAGAGCTGCTGCTGGGAGCCTGGCTGTGCTGTTTCCAGTCTGTAATTCTGCCTTTCCCCATGCAAATGCTCAGCCCCTTTGCCAAGTCAGCTATTCACACATTTTCGGGATGTGGCATCAATTAAACCTGAGCTGTGCTTCTCATGACGACCAGATGAATGGTGTGACAGCAGCTTTCTCCATAAACCCTGCAAAATGGCCGTATTCGAAGGGTTTAAAACATTTCTTTTCTGTTCAAAATTCTGACAAACATGTCTCAAGTAAGAATGGGGATAGCTTCATTATCCTCCCCACACTTAACGCCTTTTTGCGAAGCAGGCTGCTTAATAACACGTCTGCTCTGTTTTCACAACTAAATTATTCCAGTTGGTCACACGTTCCAGTCTCTGGGAAGACACTTGTGTTATAAGAGATAAAAACATGAAAAAGAGAATATATTGCAGAAATCAAAAACCTTATCTACTTCTAGACTGTTTCTCTTTGCCATAATTCATTCAAGAGGCCCTAAGAATAATTTTTGATGTAAACTCAGCAACAAACATACATCACTATGCTGATAAAAATCACAGGCTAAACTTATGAAATATAGTGACTTTCATTTCTTTAGTGCTAAAATAGCTTTTTTTCTAAGGTTCAACAGACATAAAAGATAAAAGGGTTACCATTTATCCTTTAGGCAAAAAAAAAAAAAAAAAGCAAGAAAGAGAAAGCAGCAGCCCCATAGATTAACCCTGCAGTCTGGTGAGGCTGTGAGGAGGGGCTTTTTAGATCCAGTCACTGAATTAATTTAGTGAAGATACTGGAAATCATAAAAACACACAATGTTGATTTGATTCATTTACTAACACTCCTGTGTGGGCACTTTACAAGAATTGCTGGAAACAATTTTTGATTCCTCAATCCTGGTTCATTCAGTTCAGTTTCAAGTTGACCAATATGCACTGTAGACAGCTACAGGGATTGCTGGGCCAATTAGCTCCATGGGGACTTAGGATAGGAAGCAGGGTGGGGGCTGGAGGCGACTCTAAAGAGATAATGCAGCACACTGCATTTGTTCAGATGTCTAAACAAATTTCTGGGGCACTGGGCCCAGCACTTAGGAGGCAGAGGCAGGTGGATCTCAGTGAGTTCGAGGCCAGCCTGGTCTACAAAGCCAGGCCTGTTACACAGAGAAACCCTGTCTCACTCCCCCCCCAAAACAACAACAACAACAAAAACACAAAGAAACAAACAAACCAAAAAACCACCCCCCACCCAAAATAAAACAAAATCCTGGGGTAATGAATGGAAATGAGTAGAATAAATGAGGGAAGGTGGCAATGACCCCAAGTTAGCAGTAGGGCCAGGATGGAAGGTTCCAGATAGTCACAACAGCAGAAGAACACAACTTATTGTGTGACTGTATCTTACAGCCTGAGTTCTAGATGGGAAATTCTGGCCTGAGTGGTCAGTGGCTTTCAATGTCATTAAAGGTTGTGCTGAGGAGTCATAACTTTATTTTGCAAGTCTATAATTTTAAAATCTTTTGCTTTAGAAAAAGATTATATTTGTGTGTGTCTGTATGAGTGTGTACATGTGTGTATGGACACCAGAAGAAGGTGTCAAGTGTCCTCCAATATTACTCTTTGCCTACCACTTTAAGGTGAGGTCTCTCTGAACATGGGGCTCATTGTTTTCTAAGCTGGGCTGGAAGCCACCAAGTCCCAGCAATCCTCTGTGGCTCCTTCCCTGACTGAAGCAAGGGTTACAGACATGCATGGAATCAAATGTCTCCTCTTCACTTGTGAAAGTCCTAAGTTTGGAGTTCTCAAACACCACCCCACTGCCCACAGGTCCCCACTGCCCACAGGTCCCCACTGCCCACAGGTCCCCACTGCCCGCAGGTCCCCACTGCCCGCAGGTCCTCACTGCCCACAGGTCCGCACTGCCCACAGGTCCCCACTG